CAATCATTAATAGAAATATGTCATTTTTACTGTTATACAATATAAAATAAAACAATTTAATTTAATTATTAGGACAAAAAATTTAATTTTTTAGTAATTAATTAATGGGTTAAAATTAATACCATCAATTTTATTTACTTAAATTTTATTTAGCAATTAATTTGCATAACAAAAGACAGTTAATTATGTAATAATTTTGTTATCAGGACAGTTTAATCATTCCCAGTCATTAATAAAAGTGTTTCATTTTATTGTTATAAAATAAAAAGTAAAACAATCAAATCTAGTTATTTTCAATAATTAATAAGCAGATTTCTTTTTTTTATTGAAATAATAACATCAATCACATTTTTAGGGGAAAAAAACGTGGCTGGATTCAAGTCATGTTTTCGTACAAAAACGTACCTAGAGCTAAGCCATATTTTCATACAAAAACATGGCTTGATTTTTTATTAAAATAATGAAATTAGCCACATTTTTGTCCAAAAACGTGGCTGATGGCTGGAGCCAAGCCACATTTTTATCCAAAAACATAAATTGATTTTTTAAAATAATGGCATCAACCACATTTTTAGACAAGGATGATTAAGCCACGGTTTTTGACAAACATGGCTATAATCTCAATTTTTATATATAAGTGGAAGGTCTTTGCCTTCATTTATTTGCTCATCTTCTCATTTTTTCTCCGTGTCATTTCTTCTGATCTCTTCTCTAGCGTCATTTCTTCTATTGCAAATAGTTTTTTAAAATTTGATTCCTTTTCTTCTTCATCTCATTTCTTATTATATCTGGGTTTCTTATTTTACCTGTGTGTTCTCATTTTTTTTATTAAATATCGTGTTAATTTTTTTCAGCAACTTCACAAGTTATCATAATTTTATATCAATATTTTTCCTAGCTTACAGTTTCTTCGTTTGATTTAAATTTTTTAATTTTAATTTTATTTCTCTTTTACAGTTCAGAAATGTTTGATATTAATATGAAATGCAAAATATTAACTAAAAATATTTTAAATCATAAATTTATAAGTAGAAACAAAAATATACACTTTTACATCAACCAGCAACGGGTTAATCATTTGAATGTATATGTACTAATAATCTAAATAATTTATATTGATAATCTGATGATGGAATAAATAAAATTTAATTATAAACATATTTTTAAAATTAAATTGCGTGAAATATATTTTTTAAAATATTGCTAAAAATAAAAATAATATAATAATTTGTAATATTTAAATAGCTGAAAAACTTTTGAAATATTTAAATTAGTGAAAAAATTTGCTAAATTTTATTTATTAATGTAAGCCAGTAGCCATGCTTTTAAAAAAAAAATGCGTCGCTTTAATATAATAATATGTAATATTTAAATTAATGAAAACGTTTTTGAAATATTTAGATTGCCAGAAAAAAATTGTTAATTTTTTTTTAAATATAAGCCAATAGCCATGCTTTTTTTTTTTTTAACAAAAATGTGGCTTTGGGTTATTGCTGAAGCCTAACAAGTTGTCAGATACAAACAAAAGCCACAGTTTTTGTAAAAACAGTGGTTTTCAATCACGTTTTTTTTGTTATACCGTGGTTAGATCCTTTCCACAATTAATATAATCACATTTTTTTCCAACTGTTGGCAGGGAGTTTTGCCACATTTTATAAACATGGCTATTGAACAAACAAAATCGTGCCAAATTACAAGTTTAGTTGAAGCAATAGATATTGAAGTGATATCTTGAAATTATATGTTTTTAAGTAGTAAAAACTCTCCTTAAAAAATATAATTAATGTTTGTTTATGACCTTTATATTGTTCATGAACAATCTTATATTAAATTCATCAAAATTCTTATGTTGGTTCATGAACATACATAGTTTAATAATTTATATGAACTAAGGATTATTTATAATAATTTATTTTATAAAAAGAAATGTTCTCTTAATATGTAGGGTTTTTCTTTTTAAATACATTTCCTTACACTGAGTGACATCTTTTAGTTTTATAACCCTCCACAGATAGTTTAGAATTTAGAGAGACATGACATTCCTAACTAGCTATAACTCCCTCCATAACTTTTCATAAAAATATTCATTAATTTATGAGGACATAACTTCTTAATTTTATAAGGATGTGGCTTTTTTTAAAAAAATAACTTTTTTTAAAAATATATCTTCATTTTAAAAGTATTCCAGCAATACAAGCTACCATCCTCTGTTCTCTGTTCTGTTGCAATACTTGGTGGGAAGAACATTGAAGCAGATGAGAAGAAGGGAAGCGATCGAGTTTTCTTGTCTGCTGTTCGTTACTTCTATAGGTTGTATCTTAGGTTCGTTGCTTTCTGTCTTTACTTCCTTTGTGTTGTATGATAGGCTTTATATTGGCTCTCTGTCTTTGCTCTTGGAATCAGTGTGTGTAACTTTTTTGTTGGTGATTAATAAAATTGGCTTGTTTTGCTAAGAAAAAGTACACACATTTAAAGTAGAGGAGTTGCCAGGACTTGGTATTAAAATCAATACTACCATTGAAAATGTATAAGCGTTAGCGTGTAGAAATTATTTATTTCCCGCGGTGAGTATAACGGCAGCTAAACGGAGTGGTGACAAATTCGAGAGGGGGGAAGAGTAATTTCTCAAGGGGGCAAGAGATGTGGCTGTGAGTGATGCTGTCTTGGCTGAGCCCCATCGATATAGATCCCTCCCACCCCACAACGCCATGTGCCGTCCCCACCGCCTTCAACTTGATTGCCACTATATCCTCATCCTTGCATTTTTACACGGCCTCCCTGTATAATCTTGATGATTTTTTTAAATTAACTGATTTTTATAGCTATCTAGTAATGTAGCATTGATACACTTGATCAATTTCATGTTAAAAAAAAAAAAGCACAAAACATCAACCCCTCCTCATCAAGTACACTAAACTAAATAGCACACGTATATATATATATATATTGGCCCCACTTTAATTACACGTTGCTGTTTGTCAAAGGACAACTGACAATGCTTTTTAATTGTTCGGTATCGTAGGAATATCATGAATGTTTTCTTAATCACCAAGTTTTCATTGCAACATGCAAATAATATACTACTGAACAGTCGTCATTGCGAGGAAGCCGTCCGAGACCATCGTGGAGCATGCAAGGCTCGCATAACTTAATAGATTTCTCTAGCTATTAATTGAACATTCTGATCCGTGATCCTCGAGTTGCAAATACTTCATGCATTTCAAGAACAACTATTGAATCATAACATTATAATTCATGAATATCACAGGTCTATATAAAATTTATATTTTATATTAAAGTTGGGGCGATAGAAAGAATTTATAATTCCTGAAAGACCAAGAAGCAGTTAAAACACATACATATATTTAAATTTAATAATTTAAGCAAGTCAGGCTCGATTTGAGCCGGGCTTAAAGTATTATTTTCTCTTAAAAAAACTTATATAGTTAAGCTCAATTCTTAATTTTTTTTAAGATGAATTTGAGCTAGTTTGTCGGATTTAATTTGAATTATTAGCTTTAGATATGTTGCAAAGGGAGCAACGATCAAATAGTCATAGTTAGTAAAAGTAAGAAAAAATACGAGTGAAGGTGAATCATCAAATGAAGTATATGCCACCCCTGACAATCAATTTCTTTAATTGAATGAAACACTTGAATTTTAAGAAAAGAGTATATACAACAACAATACAATATATGCTTCATTTGATAGTGTCATTACTTTTGTAAATTGTTCTTACATGATAAGGATGAGTTGGAGAACAACAAACAAAAACATGAGTTATCAAATAAAGATATGAGCGGTTCAAATTGAATAGGAGTGACTGTGTTGAAAATGAATGATGATAGAGATGAGATGTAGTAAGATTTAGAATGAATAAAATTGGGAGAGATAGGAAGGAGTGATAGTAATAATAAGATTAACATGTAATGAAATTGATTAAAATTTTAAGACTCTTATTCCTCTTACATTTTTTTTAAGGTTGGATGGATAAGTAGTCATCATGTAATAAGAATAGGAAAGGGAGAATATGTAAGGAGATCCTCACATGAGTGGATTACATCTTCCTGATAAATATTATATCTTATCAATAAAAAAAAGTTTAAACTTGTTCATTAAGTGAACAATTTCACTTTTCATAAGAAAAATTAAATGTCTAATTATAACATTGTTCTTTGTATAAGAGAGTTTTTTACAAATGTAAATTCATTTTTCATCTTAATAATTTTTATATAGTATTTGAATAAATGGTTAAATGTCATTTTTATTCCTGAGCTGTACATAAAAGGTCTCAAATATCTTTAAACTCAACTATAAATTAATTCTGTCTTTTAAATTTAAAAATTCCTTCTGTCAACACTTTGATATTAAAAACACTTAACGTCTATTAGTCATTAATGGGTCCCATTATTTTAAAATTTTTTTTATCAGTTTAAATGTCATTTTTACCCTTTAACTCAAATATTTTATAATAAAAATATTAAAAAAATATAATGTGGAGCCTATCAATGATCAACTAATCATGAGAAAACGATAGGGTGACAAGAAAATGAATTTTTAAAATTAAAAAATAAAACTAACTCATAACCAAGTTTAAAAGTGTTTGTAATTTTTCATCTATAGTTTAAGAATAAAAATATCCTTTAACTCTCGAATAAACACTTTGCATGATCCACTATTTAAGTAATTTTGTTTATTGTTTATATCACACTGATAACAAAAGTCTTGACGTTCTTATGAGTTACGAGAATCCGAAGGGCCTCGGCGGCCGCTGTAAAACCCCCCCACTTGCTCTCATATAAAAACGATGCTGGTTCAAAAAGAACCGCAGAACTTGAAAGACTGACATATTGTTCTCTCGTTAATTGCTCATTGGATTGTCAGCATGAAGAGTGAAACTCAAACTGCACCCTTTTTTGGGAATGGGACCACAGCATTATATTAACCATATTATAAATCAGAAGCTGATCGAGAACAGAGATTCACAATGGGAGGCTGCATTTTGTTTTTTAAAAATAGATAAAAAGTTTTATTGAATGACGAAATGATCTCATCTCAAGTTATTAATCTAAAAGCATAAAAACACAGTAAATATCCGTGTTCGGTAGAATCTAATCCATCGTGCCCTCAAGGGAAAGAAAGAAAAAATAAATCCGAAGCAGGGCAGTCTACTCCGGCGTTGAAACTCAGGAAGGAAGCGCGATCACCCTCCATAGTGTAGCCGAAAAAGTACTGGGAATCTAGTGGGAACACCTCAATTGGATAGCGAGAGCCAAGGGCCTGTCTTGCGGGCAAGGTTTGCCGGAGATGGGGAACAATGAAGGGTCCATGGGAACGGTGCAAGAATCTTTGCCCATGCAGTGCTGCTCCACAACTTGCTTCGCTGCAGCCGAATTGCATGTTCCTGTGTCATAGGCTCCACAAGCACCTACGGGGTCACCGAAGCTCGCGAATTCCACGGCCGTTACCTTCTTGAAGTCAGGGCACTTTAAGCTTGCTTCGGTCTTCACCTCGTCCACTACTGCGTGAAATTTCATCTTCTTGCTGGCGAACTGCTTCACATTGGGTGGGTGTACGTCCGTGATGTAACTGCAAATAGTGTCTCTATCCACAATCACGATCTCCACCTTTTCAGGGTTTGATTTCTCCTCCTCAAATATGACGAGAAGATTGTCTTTTTCGTTCAAGAAAGCTCTCGGGATGTGGTACTCCGACTGACTGGGTTGTCCCAGAGGAGAGAGATATGACATCCAGTGACGACCTATGCTCTTGCCGTTTATCCATATCTGTCCCTTTCCCATACCAGTCATCCTGATCGCAATAGGATCCCTTCCCTCCGGGGTCTCAAATCTTGTCTGTACATTAATTGAATACAAATCAGCTCGGTCGGACGTTTGCCGTGTTTTTTAAGAATGGAACGGAGATGTTTGTTTCTTCATTGATTACCTTGTACCAGGAGATGGTGGGTCCCTCTCCATTGGCCTTCTTCCACTGGAACTTCTTCGCACCCTCTTCGGTGAAAATACTCTGCTTTTCGCCTTGGAGAGAAACCTGTTCGAACTCAATGACGTCATCTTTACTCTCTTAGAATTCTTTTGTGATTGAGAAATGAGAAGCGGTAGAATGTACCTGATGACCCCAACCGTTGTCGGTGAGATCAATTGTTCCGGTGTTGAGACCGAGGACGGTGACTCGAGTAGGACCGGCGAACCTGTGCTCCATGTATGCACCGCTGTCCTGTTTTATATTTATGAAAGTTGTTGCAGTGTTCTTACCAGAAACAAATGGAAGAGATTCAAATCAGGAAGTGAAGAGCCACTTACGGGTAAGCCTACTGTGTAACACAAGAATGTTATTTGATTAAGTCCAACTGTAAGGTTTACGGAAACTTGCAATCCAAAACCTTTCTCTTCGTGGCTACCGTGGGCAGATCCTTCAGAACCATTAAATCAGAACATTAACACCTAGTATGAGTCTCTCACGTGGGATGACAGGCAATAATATTAAATGAAATTTTTACGGCTTGCTTACCGACGAATACGCCATTCGCATACGCGAGCATTCCGTGGCCATTACTAACCACCCGTAGAACGGGGAGTATGCTAGCCTTCCTCGGCAAGTCTTCAGGACCCAGCTCGATTCTGCAATAATATTTTAGGGATCGAGAGGAAAATAATTACGTTATGATTGATAGAATGAGAAACACTGAAAGGACTAACCTCGTTGTGTACCAAGCATAGTCGCTGACGTCTTTTAGCAAGCTGTAAAGCTCTTTAGGTTCATCAGAATCGATCGGCACTTCCTTGGTTGTCGGAAGGCTTTCGGAAAACACCTCCCAATCAAGCTTGTTTGCGGCCTCTGATCTCTTAAAGTTCCTCGAATTATGTTGCGAAACAATCTGGGTTATGTGGACAGAAGTTAGGAGCAATTGACCTCGGCCACATTGATAGAATTTTGCTTCTTGTCAGTAAAAGTGATTAACGAGTTACCGTTTGAGTGTTGTATACTACAGTCTTGCAGTCCGGGAGGATGCTGATGGAACGCGAGGGTAGATAATATTCTTGACCCTTGAAGTTTATGGTACCGGCGTTCTCGGAATGATTGTTAGTTATGAAAGCAGCACACATGTCGCTTCCTGGCCTCTCATAGACTATAATCTGCATCCATTCATATTCAATACATCATCTTTAATCAGTACGTGATGACCTCAATTCTGAGAAATGATCTAAATCTATGTTTCGGACTAATGAATGCTTACCTCGTGGAATTCGTTCACCTTTTGCGTGGTAGGTGTGCCTTGCAAAAGAGCCTTCTTACACAGGTTTACAGCCCTATGCACATCCCGAAGGTGGCTCCATTTGGGTTCTTTCTGCAGACCGTATTCATCCAGAGGAGCTTCGTCGTAGTACCGAGTAGTTGTGAAGGCGGAGGTTGTTCTTCCGTAATTTGTTCCACCGTAGTACTACAAACAGGGTACATGTTTCAAATCTTGTTTTGGTAAAAAAAGAAAAAAAGAAAGAAACAGAAAAAGAAAAGAAGAGCCAATAGCCTCGCATCAGTTAGATTTACACGCGAGTTTTTTCGTAGAGGGCAAGTTCAATACCATGTAATAGTTGACCATAGCTCCATTCTTAGCAAAGAAGCGGGCGACTGAGTAGGCAATATCTTCTGCAGATCTTTGGGATGGAGGATCTCCAAACACTCTGTACCTGTAATTTACAAATTCACCACCAAACGTGTTTATTTAAGTGGAACGATCGTGATGTATGAAGATACAATGAATATGTATTCGGGGAGAAACTCACTGAGCCGTCCAATTTTCAGTCCAAATGAAAGGCTTGTATGGTTTGTTTGGGCCTGGGAAGGTATCACCACAATGTCTTCCATTGCATGCATTGATCTGCGGAAAGCTCAAAGGTAAGCTTCTCTGGGGAATTGTATTTTTTTTTTTTTAAATAATGCCAGGACAAAGATTTCAGTGAACTCACCACTGGATCGGGTGCATCCGTTTGCTTGCACATGACCCATGGAATGCCAAGATCCAATCCTATTGCCAGTTTCGCAGCCCACTGAACGTAACTATCTCCCTTCTCCCTGAATGCTCTTTGGATATGGTTGTACTCATTCTCAATCTGCAATAAATAAACTAATTAAAAAGCATCCAAGGTTTTCTTCAAATAAATAGAATCTGCCGTACGTGCAGCGCCCTTTGCAAAAAAGACTTGAGAAAGATATATAATAGGAACGATCAGATCGGAACCTGTCCCAAGATGATGGGCCCTCCTTGAGGAGCGAAGAGCTTCTCGGTTTTCAGCTTGTCTATAATAAATAACACATACTCTTGCATGTATTTCTGCATATATAAAATTACGAGCTTTTCAGTCTTTAATGACATCAGCAGTTTTTTCATCAAAACCAGTATAATTGTAAGCTCTATGGAGAACATAGCCATGTATAATTGATTACCTTGAAAGGTTCATTGTCACTGCGGAATATGATATCGGGAACCTCTCTCAACCAGTACGGAAGTCCTCTTTATTTATATTTTACCATCGTAGACATTAGTTAGTAGCATCTTATATATATGTACATAGAATGACATTAGCACATGCAAATGGAACAATAATGATCGATATTACGTAAATGTTACGAGAAGTTAAGAAGTCAATTTCATACCCATGATTCCACTCGGCCTGAATGAAAGGCCCAATTCTAAGGCATGCATACATGCCTTTCTCCTGAATGAGCCTGAGGAACTTCACTATGTCATAGTTTCCCTCAAAGTTCCTCTGCACGATGAAGCAAACCATGTTAATTAAACTGAAAGTTGACGACCAATTAAAAACACGACAGTAATCCCATGATAACAACACATGAGATTCTAGGAGGAGTAACATAATCCAAACAACAGATGTAAAATGTTGCATTACCTGGCCTCTTACGGGCTCATGAGCGTTCCAAAAGACGTAGGTTTCGATCACGTTCAAACCGCCATGTCTTGCCTTGTCAAGAAGGTCTGGCCACATCTGAACAAACCATTATTTCGTATCCGTTGTTTGGGTGGAGGAGCGAGAAGTTCAGCATGGCAAGAGAAAGAGAAGAAATTAAAGCAAACCTCCGGCGGGCTGCGAGGGTAATGGACGGAACCCGAGAATAGAAGCTCTCGCTTTCCATTTAACAACAACGACCTTCCGTCATAGCTGACCGCGACCTTCTCTCCACCATCAGCATACGACAATGAGACAACGATGGCAAACAACGCTAGTAAAAGGATTATTATGCTCGCAGACGCCATTCACACACATGGATTCTTATATTCCTTTGCTCCAAAAAGAACTTGACTTCTTGCTTTGAGCGATTAATATATGAGCGAATAAGATGTCTGTCTATCCATTGGAGAACTCTCATAAAGGTCGCAAGAGAATTGTGTCAAAGGGACAAAAATAGAGGTGAATTTGATAAGGCCAAGGGTTCAGATGAAATATCGGGGTTTTCCTTTTTTAGAATATTTGTTCGTAATTATGTTTTTTTTTTTTTTTTGGGTTTTGTTGCATCGTAACTCGGCCTTTCATTCCCTGCGAGGTTCTATTTTTAAGTGAAACAGGCAACAAACTTTGTGTTTGGAGGGGTACTTAATGTCTGCGCGAGAATCGGACAACAGAGACAGTAAATGAGAATTGAGTCAAGTGTCTCCCATATTTACTTCTTTTGTGTTTCTCTAACGTTAGTATCAGTTGGTTCCAATGATTTTAAAGCAAGCAAGTCGGTGTCTTGTTAAGGCAGACGGGTTGCATGTTGTATACGGATCCTAAAATGATATGATTTATTAGGATTTTGTATTATGTGCTGTATAAATAGGAAATGAAAGGCCTTTTAATATTTTAATGGACTGATATGTTTTATTTATTCGAACCAGTTTAGCAAAAGAATGCCCATTTTTTGAACTAACAGCTAACATGTATTGGATTACAGAACTATATTGTCATGACCTAGCTTCAATTCATCGTGACGTGCAGCGTTATAGAGTTTTAGTCTGTCCATTTGAACGTAAACTCACATCCCCCGAGCGCCTCAACATTATCAATGTTTTTGAAAATAACAGCTTCAAACGTGTTGATTTTTATTTTTATTTATGGCTAGCCAGAGATTAATACTGACTGACAAAATGTAACGCCCATATCAAGCTTATTTATTTGATAAATGATGAGTGTTCCGATCCATTGGTCCAGCTTTGCTATTTAATGATGTAATTTAATAAATTCAAATTTCAAATATATATATATATATATATATTTTTTTTTTCAACGGTTGTTCATTTTCCCTATAGGTGGGGAGGGGAGGAGTGGGCTTTTGCGTCTTTTGGGTCCAGACTTGAAAATTTATTCACAATCCAGTAGACCACCCTTTCAAATTTGACAAAGCAGCCCTGTCTCAACAAAAATTATATGAAGATATAATTTTTAAAATCCGACAACAAATTCTTACGAAATTTTAAATTTACATTTCTAAAATCGTTGTGGTTAATTGGATCATCATTTTGCAACATGATATAATGTTTAAAGGGAGTGTTTTATTTTCTTGCATATAATCTAAAATTTAGACAGTTATATGCACAAAATAAAACTTATGGAGATACAATATTCACGTTAAAAATATGATTAAATAATGCATTAGCCAGTTGACAATTGAAAAGTTATCAAAATAATTTTCAGGTTTCATTGCCAAAGTTTGAAAGTCGGGAGAATTATTTGTTGAAAGGCCATCTAGTTCAAAAGTTTAGAGAGTACTATAATATTTAATCTGTGGTGAATTAAAAAATTAATACACAATAACTATAATAAATTGTTTTTTTAAATTTAAAGAAATGAACTATACTATTAAAAAACATGAAGAGTAGGATTTGTTGGAATTTATTATATATAAATTTACATGCATATACACGGCAATACATATACTTAATTAATTAAGCGATTTCATTTTCTTTTAACCCCATTTTCTTTCATTTTTGTTCCCTCCAAAATTTTCATCTTTCCCCCCATATCTTGAAGTTCGAATTGATGAGTTCCGAAATTCACACTTCCATACCACCGAGAAGCCCTCATCTTCCTTAAGACCCCCCCGGATTTCGATTTTCAGGAGCCATGTCAAAGCACCAAGACGACCTCGATCTCGATCTCCTCCTTTCCCTTCAAGACAGAGTTTTGGAAACTCCTCCCACTTCTCCTTCACCCCATTCACCGGGTACGCCGTCGAATTCCCATTCTTTACATTCATCCGACGAACTACTCCTTCAAATAATGACTTGGATCCCCCCGCACCTCCCAGAAAAATAATCGGATTCGAATTTTCCAATCGCGGGTCCTCATATATTTTTTCAAATGGCAGGTTACTTATCCGACGATGGCTCGCCTAGGCAAAGGGAGACGGCTGACATGTCAGTATTTATAAATGCTGTTCAGGATTGTCTTGAAGACGAAACCAAAGCAAATAAGAAACCTGAGAATTTGAATGGGCCGGTGTACAAGAAATCAAATCATACTGAGGTCGAGAAATTTTCTGGTCTGCGAATAAGGTTAATTGATGCCAGATTTTAGCTGTTAATCCACATCGGATACATCGAATCTATGACGTACAGTATGCTCTTAGGTTCTTGATCTATCCGGGAGTGCCTGTGATTGTAGCTTCACAATAGATTCCATTTCGTTTATAAATGATTTAGGCATTATAAGCAGCTACGGTAAGCGGACATGACACGAGCTACTAAATTTTTTCACATACAGGAACCAATTGGTAACCTCTTCAGAGCTCAGGGAACGCTTTTCAGACATTCGTTTCGTTCGGCTACCAGTAATCAAGTAATCTTCTTTACTTTGTGTCCTACTATGAAAGTGGTCTTCAAGATAAAAGCCTGTCAATATAGTTTTGGGGCGCAAATATTCTTGGCCTCGGCCTGAAAACCTAGAATGACTTCGGATTCAGGAATTTGCTGATAGGGGATACTATTTCTGGATGTTGGGCGACGGTTGGAGTGCTGACAGAGAAAGGGAGCCCAAAGACAAGTTCAACAGGGAAGAGCTTCTGCATATGGAAAATAGGGTGTTTGGATGAAAGTAATATTTCTCTCTTCTTGTTCGGTGACGCTTATAAGAGGAACTCGCAAGAACATGCGGGGACGGTCTTTGCATTGTTTAACTGCGCAGTACGCAAGGATGCTATGGTATTAATTAAATTATAATGAATCAGTGAGGTGGCCTTTATACCGGTTTGCCAAACGTACTTGGTTATTTTATTTGTTTTGTAGGGCAATGCTTTTTCATTGAGTGCATATTCCCCAAGTCAAATTTTAAAAATAGGAACTTCTGTTGATTATGGAGTTTGCAAGGGAAAACGAAAGGATGGGATGCCTTGTACGCTGGTTATAAATATGTAAGCAAATCAATACTTCAGTTGATGTTATGGATACAATGTTCTTTGATTTAGTGAGGTCTATTTAACGAAGAAGTCAGGCATTGCTTTGGTTACGCATGAGATAAGAAATAAGCCACCCAGAAAACTAGCCTAACAAACCTTTTTCATGTGCTAAAAGATCTAATCCTAGAAAACCACAAAAAATAAAAAATAAAAAACATTTCCCCAATCTTCGAGGAAAGGCCTAACTCAAGTGTTAATGGCATCTCATATATTGTCCTTCATTTTATCTGAATGTCTTTGGCTTTTGTTGTCCTCCTGACAGTGACATTCTTCTTTTCCCCCGTCCTAATAAATCAAGGTTTTCTTTTTCTCATTTTTATTCGTGCCATCTTTTTGGCTGTTTTACACTGATCTTTCAAAATTGCAAAGATTGATTGTTGATCTTTGTTATTTCAGACGTCAAGGGATATATTGTAAATATCATAAATCGGTAAGCAGCATCAAGTCCTTCAATGTTTCTTGTCAATATTCGCTTGCAAAAAGGTTGTGCATTTACCAAACTACCTCCTATCTGTTGTTATCTTGAAGAAATCATCAAAAGAGTACTCCACAATGCGAACTGAACTGAAGGGAGGGTGGGTGATGACTATTTACCTTTCATCGTCTTTTTGTTTGTGAAATACTCAAGTTTCTTGAATGATTTCCCTTGATCATCTTTCACAAATGTGTTCTATTAACAGGAACTTAAAAACAGCATTTAGGCCAAGGGATTATCTCAAGTCAGAAGGAATTTACTTAGTTGATCCTGCTATTGGCAAAACAAACCCAACGAAACCTCAGCCCATGAAATTGCTGTCTGTGGATGCTCTTAAAAAGGCATTGAGGTTTGTTATACTTAATGCAACTAATTACCTGTTTGCTATATCGCTGGTAACTCATAGATTTTGATTTTCAATGCTTCTGACTTTTGGTGCCATGGATTAATTTGCATCCCTATACCAGCAATGCAGACAAAGTGACAACAAATAAGCATTCACAAGGGATAAGGTTTCTTTCTGAGGTCACAGGTGGTCATTAATGGTCTTGTGCTTTTGTGGGCGACCATATGTAGCTTGAATCTATTGCGTTCTTAGCTACTTTTCACTTCCAATTGCAGGCAAGACGGACTCTAGGGCAGTAAAGAGAAGACAAGTGACGCCGAATGAGCAAAAAAAGTGCCTTGATAAGAGGTGAGTTGCAAATAAGTATTTAAGTTGATCTTATTTGTCTCATATATAGTAAGTGGTATACATGGTCTGTGGAGAAGTGTGCTAGTCTCACTTATATCTTACCTGTTGCTTCAGGAAATCGTCTTCAGGAAACGAGAGATCCCCTGCAACAAGAGACAGACATATAGATGCCAAAAGAATAAAAGCTGAAGAGCAAGCATCGGGTGATAAAACCACAAGGGGTAGTGGAAAGATGATTGAATTAGACTTTGTCAGTTCAGATGAGGATGTCTGAGACTTCTGGTCTGAGCACAATCCAGCTGATTCTGTTGTCAAGAATCGTGATTTAATATTGAGGAAACTTTACTGTTTGATTTGAGAACAAAGACTTCTGCAGGATGGCAGGTGATGGCGAAACGGCGCAGATCAGTGGGCATAGAAGATTAAGTGATTGACACATTGGAACGATTGTTGCTTGCTTCTGCATATGTGCAGAAATTTCCTACAACCAAATGTTTATCATCCTCAACGGGATTTGGGATACCAATCACCACGGTCTGCGTGATTATTTTCTTTGCTCACCTCTTTTTTTATTTTTTTTTTGCTTTTCCCTGTTTGGTTGAGAGCTATCTGTACAGTAGATGCAAGGACGGGAATCAAATTTTGGGATTCTTATGTTTGGTTCGGCTGAATTCCATTTTATTCCTTTGTCATGGGAATGCTGATTACCACAATTGAAGAAATGGGGATTGATTACCTGGTGCCATTGGCGGTATCTGCATCCTTTGGAATAATTTTTTTGCTTGACGAGAATGCTCATCATACAGTCTCCACATGAATACATATTTTTGTAATTACAATTACAACAGCAGGCCAATAGCTTAAGATGACAAGCAGGATCTAGCTCGCGATTTCCCATTTATAAAGGTAGCATTGATATTATTATGCACAAGGCATTGGCCCTCAACAGGAATATTATTTTTATTAAAATTGCACTTATGTCTCAAATACCAAAATGTTTGATTGAAGTCTCAATCATTTTGAAATGATCTTTTGAAGTCCCAAAAACACACTGCAGCTTTTCAAAAGTAATTTTCTTATTAGTGAGGCGAGAAATCTTGAGCTCATGTTTTTTCATGCAAGAGCAACATGTAAAAATGTTCTACTATTTCAAACAGTTCAAAAGCAGTTAAATTTTTATACTTAATTTAAAAATCTCATCCATAAAAATTAACAACAAATGTTTTATTAAATGTATTATAATCATTTAATATTTTTTTTATTCTTATACTCTTTTACAAATGTAAAATATTTTTAATTGAATCTCATTTCTCAATAAAATAGTTACTTACTTTCAAACTAACTTTATCTTTTTATATTTATTTTTATTAAATATTTTATAATAAATATAAAATTATTTATCAGTAGGGTACTTTAAAAAAATAAATATACCTCAAAAGTTTAAAAATAAGTCATATTTTTTAATATTTAATTTTTATAAAATTTATTATATTTTTAAATGAAGGAAATATCAGTTTTATTTAATTAAATACAAATGAAAGGAAATGTCCATTTTCATTCATGATGTCGATTTGTGGGGGTAAAGAAAAGCTAAGCAGCCATTAGCTACTTTTGTGAGCGTCTTTCTCCAATCATCCGATCCGATATTTTTTATTTTAAAGGTCGTAAAGTCAAAGCCTTTATTCAAGCATAAAAACTAAAAAGTGAATCCTATCATATTCGATATTTGTTTTATTTTATTCGGCTTCTTTGGGGCCTATGCATGTATGCTTGTTCCTCAAAGCATTGAAATTGTTGAAAAATGATCCCGGTTGAGTCTGTTTTCTGTCGTATGTATATGTCAAATCTCTCCGCGAATAATTTATAGAAAGAATTATTGATGATTTTTTCTTAAATAAAAAATGACAATTTAATTTTACAAAATATAATAATGAGAGTAAAATTTTACTGGACTCTTTTTAGATTAAATTTTTATGTAAAACTACCTTAATATCTCTCTATAATTAATTTTATATAATTTATAAGTTTAACATAAGTATTTATAAGTTTGATTCTATAAATGATAAAAATTATTTAAAAATTATAACTTTTTATTAACATTTTTTCTAACTAATAAAATTTAATTAATTTTATATGATTTATAAGTTTGTTGGTATAAATGTTTATAAGTTTTGCTTCATTAATAACTAAAATGATTTAAAATTTTGTTCACTATAAAAAAAAATATTCTGAATGTTTTATAAACAAAATGATTTACCACTGGGGCAAATTAATTTAGACTTGTAATTTTTTTTCCCGGCATTCGGATTGTTTTTATTTTTTAAACAAAAAAAGAAATTCACCAGAGGTAAGGGCTTTTTATTGACTTGAATGGGCAGGGGTTAATTAATTTGGACTTGTAAATTTTTTCCGGCAACTTTTATAGAAGTGAGAATTACATTCAAGGAGTTAAAAAAATAATTATTTTTAAACAAGAACTAATATAAAATAAATTATTATTAAAATAAAAATAAATTTATTTTTAACTAAAATTTATTTTTAATTTTTCTCTGTAAATAATTTTTTTTCCCCTGTATTCTCCTTTTATGGAAATGCTGATGATGACGATACTGATATTGAAATTCATAGTGATACACGATTTTGATTGGCCATGACTGTAACATACAAGCGACTTCTCTGAGTACCTGTATATTGCCAAGCCAGTGACTCTCGGTCGTGACTTTATTTTTGGAAGCAATCGTGTAGAATCTCTGAATCTATCGCCTCGCCCTGGTCCGTCTATTTTTTCTTTCTGTAATGTTTTTTTTTTTTTTAAATTTAGGGTTTCATGTTTTCACTGCAAACTTCCCCTTCGTCTCATGTGCCTCCTTGTAACCTGCTCATCTTCTTAGGTTTTCGCGATACCTCTTTTTTTTCAGTTTGGGCCGTGATTGAATCAATAAAGCTGCTTTTTGGTATTGATTGTGTCGTTTTTTGTGTTATTGATTGTGTCGTTTTTTGTGTTCTCTGTTTCTCCGATTCGCGCTAAGCAAATATTTCATTTCTTACTTGATTGTTGGTTGTTGAACAAGTTGGTTGTGGCCACCGTGAAATGCAATCCGGGTTGCGACCAAACTGTAAAATGCTCGTGGTGTAATTTTGATAAGGCTACAAAGTTGTTATTGATTTTTTATTTAATTGCTTTAAAAACATTTTCCGATGTGTGATCAATTTCTTTTGTTTTCTTGGCTAATTTGTATCTTTCATGAAGTTTCCCTTTTCTCTTCAGTTGAATGGTATTGATTTTATGAAGGAATTATCGATCAAGTTCGTTATTATAAATATCTCCCTCTTTTCTAACCAGTACCATCTCTGCGTTTAATTGGAGTTTCCTCTCGCCCAATGGACGACGGTGAAGTGTTCTCGAGCCCAAACGTGGGCGAACTTCCAAGCAGTTGCTCAATGGATAGTTTCTTCGAAGAACTTCTCAAGGATACGCATGCTTGTACTCACACCCACACTTGCAATCCTCCTGGCCCTGATTTTTCACACACCCATACTTGTTATCATGTTCACACCAAAATTGTCCCCGCTCCTGCTGAGGACAAGGCTGGCACTGATGACACTGCAGAGTCAGTGGAAAAGAAATCAAAGAAACGTCCTCTTGGTAATCGTGAAGCAGTTCGCAAATATCGTGAGAAAAAGAAAGCCCGGACTGCATCTCTAGAGGATGAGGTTGTGAAGTTGAGGGCCTTGAATCAGCATTTAATGAAGAAGTTGCAAGGCCAGGCTGCTTTAGAGGCTGAAATTGCAAGGCTAAAGTGCTTGCTTGTGGACATTCGGGGGAGGATTGAAGGGGAGATTGGTTCATTTCCATATCAGAAATCAGCTAATTCAAACCCACCAAATCCAAGCTTGCCTGGTTCTTATGTGTTGAATCCCTGTAACATGCAGTGTAATGATTTGGTCTATTGCCTTCGTCCTGGAGCAGAAGAAGAGACTACAGAAGGCTCACCGCTAAATGGTGAAGGGTTTAATGGTTGTGAATTTGAGAGTCTCCAGTGCCTAGCAAGCCATAATATAGGGCGTAAGGATATTCCTGGTTGTGGAGCTGGACAGACAGTGCCTAAGGTCAATTCTTCTACAGAAAATAAGGGCAAAGGTGAAGCCTGTTAACTCTTTCATTCTAAATTGAATTTGCTTGCTCTGTGTGTGTGTGTGTGTGTGTGTGAGAGAGAGAGAGAGAGAGAGAGAGAGCACTTGAGATGCATGATTTGATGTGAGGGTGATTTACCGCTTGCTTTTGGCTTGGATAATATGATACAGGGCTATGGAAATTTAGTTGGTCCTATTGGAGTCCTATTTTTCTGTTTTTTACTTTTTTATTAGAAGCAAAACTACCATTTCAAAAGGCATTAATTACGTTCTCCCCAAATTGTCCCTCATAAATGGATGGTATCATAAAATTAGAGGGAAAAGGTAAACATTAATTACAATGCCATTTTAGTCCAAACATATCAATTTCAGATATCATTATTATGATTAACTAATTTTCTTAAATTGTGAGTTAGTTAAAATTCTCCTATATTCGAAAATGGAGGGAGTATCATGTTATTGCTAAAATTCGTAATAACTGTTGTGCTATGGTGCTGAAGAGTGGTTGTAATAGAGCTGAAGAATTAGAACAGATTTATATATGATTTACTAGGGCCTATAGCATAATCTATGGTAAGGGAAATGGTGTAGGAAGAGCAACTCCAATGGACTATAGAATTATCTTCCAGTGGGTAAGAGAATTACCCAAAGGTTCCTGGCCATAGGGGGAAAAGTGGAGTATGAATAGGGATTAGCATGTTCAGCCTTTTGCAACTTTTTGGGTCTTTAAATCTTTCCTTTTCCTGGAGGGAAGGGTGTGAAGTCTTCAGAAAATTAAGAGCAGTGAGGAGAGCTGGCCTCTTGAATGCCGGGTTGGGGTGGGGGGAGATCATTCTTTCTTCACCAATTTCTCTTTCTATTCTAGTGGTGTATGACTGACTTATGTTTGTGCTTCTTTTCTATGAAGGTGTATTTTGTAATGTTCCGTGTACTTTTTAACTATCATGTGGTTGTAGTTTCAGTGCTTGGGTGTATGATAGAGGTGAGTTTCGCTTGAATCATGATTTTCTCTTGTAATCCGATTTTATTATTCAGCAGCGATAATATTTTTCAGTCCATTTGTATTGTATTTTCTGGTTTTCACTTGTTTGAAGCTTATTAGAGCAGAGGGTTCCATCAGGTTGCTGGATTTCAGGTGAGGTAATCTTGAATTTCTGCAACAAAGGCGGATTTTAGAACGATCACTATAATCCTATAAGAAGCTCTTCTAACATTTTATGACAAAAAGATGTTAAATGCACAAGTTAGTCTGTGAAGCCAAATTATGAGTTAGGTCATCCCCGTTAAGATTTAAATTGATCAATAGGACAACTAATAGTTTGCATGGGTCCAGTGCACTTAAGATTGGTGACTGCAATCAGATCTTGCTGGACAACCTTTAATACAAGAGAGGGGAGATGTGAACGAGCATCTTTCTTCCTAACTTCGTTGAGTACCTTTTTCAATGTTTTGCTGGTAGTTTTTGCGAATTGGCATGTCAAATCCTTTAGCAGTAATCTGATGCGTCTGATTGCAAATTCTTGCTCAGTATTCTTTGCTAATGATCATATCTTTCTTCATTTATTAGGGGGAACTCGTGCCGCAAGAGCTGGTTGAAGAGCCAATTTGATGGTAGTTCTCATCGGCTTCACAGTACATAACCTCTGCCAATTACTCATTTACAGTTGCGGCATCAGCCATCCATCAGGTCAATCTGTGGATCTGATCTTCATTTTTTTCCCTTGAAAAATTCTTTCCTTTCTTTTTGGCCACCTCTGGGGTTATCGGCCTGGGATGGCTATTGTGAGAGGGAAGATCTAGCTTTGCTGGGTATGCGTAGATTGATGTTGTTCAATTATACCGAATCCTACATTGATGATTTGTTAGGCAGAAACAGCAGTGGATCTGTAGCCAGCAGAGCTTATGACAGAGACAGACTTTGTGTTCTTTTATGAAATTAAGTTTCTTCTCAAATCTTTACATGTCTTCTGTTCATGACTGGATGGTTATGATTTATGCTTAACGTTTTGTGAGGGTGTTTTAGTGACGTTGCACACTTTATAAGCTCTGGCAGTCTGGCAATATGGGTAAGATGGTGTTTTTCATCTTTCCGTATTATTTGCTGAGAACGGGCAAGACACAAACTTCCTTTTGTTTAATCAGAAATCTGATTTTTAAGTGAAACAAGAAAGGTGGCATGCGTAGATGCTATCATGTTGTTCCTTTTCAACTTTGATAGTAACATAAATTTACTCCTCTCTCTACCTTCAGCGTTTTACTGTGCGAGGGTGCCTGATTTGTGTGATGAAGAGGCTGTTGTCTTCTAATGGATAGATTTGCAAATGGACATTTGCTATGTCCGCAAGTGAAGGCAGGCCCTGCATTAGTTATTTAGTTTCTTTGTTTGAGAATCCGGAGCCTGCTTTTGGAATCACACGGAGGGGGCTAATTTCGGCCAACCAAAAAACTCTCAGGGTTGGGCTTAAGAGTTTAAAATTTGTGTTCTGGCCCGACTAAGCCTGAAAAAATCAGGGGCAAACTTAATTTTGAATGAACTTAGCTTAAATACCTGAATTTTTTATTTGTTAATAAAAGTATTGTTAAAATAAGATAAAAATTGAAGATATCAATTTTTTGAAATAAAATTGAAATTAACTAAAAAAAATAAAAATAAAATAATATTTACTAATTTAAATATTTGATGTAACCTAAAAGTATGAGGTGTTAAGGTTGAGTTTAATTATACAAGTTTTTTTATGTTCAAGTATTTTAAGTTCAATTCAATAAATTAAGTCAAGCTTGGCCAAAATAAGTTCAGCTTGTTTGAATTATCTTTTCTAAAATCAAGCTTGACATCTCAGCGGGGGATTGAATATGGAAGAAAGTACACATCTGTCTTTTTGGATTGATTGGAAAACGAACGACTCTGTAGCCTGTTAGTGAATGTTATGTGAGCATGAAATGAATAACAAACCTTTAATTTTTATTTCGTTTCTTTCAATTCTGATTATGTATTTGATAAGGCACCTTGTCTATATAAATTAACTAGTGCCGCTTGTAACATAACTGATGTATACTTCTCTTCCATCAACTCATGATAGATTTATCTGCTTGGAAAGGAACCTGGAGCTCTAGAAAGCATGACCTTACCCTTAATTTTAATTAGAAGAATGGAAGCTTGTTAATAAAATAAATGGCTTTGTATTTTATTTTACAACAGTCGTTTCAGAAATGCAATACTTAACTTTTTTTAAGTACTCTCATTTAACTACCTGTAATTATCTTATCTTCTTTCCAAGTTGTCGCATTAAATCAAAGTATTATTCCATGTGAACTAATATTTTACATTAATGATCCCTGAATCCATATGCTGAACCCTAAACAGAGGACTTTTAATAATAAACTTTTTTACCATTAGTCCACAATCTAGTGATTAAAAATTAACATCCCTCAGTTGAGAGGATCTTAATCCATTCATTTAAGGCCATGATGAGAATGCACACAATGACCAAGATAATTCTGCCTAATACCATCATCGTTCCAGCTGCGTACAATCAACAGAAAACAGTGCAGATTGAATAGAAATAAAAACGATAATACAAAGCATTGCCTTTAAACTGTGCCTATGCCTAGTTCTCATTATCAGCAGTCCACATGTCATCATCGTCACCGTCATGGTAAATGCTCTCGGCCATTTGCCAAACCTGGAAAGAGTTGTCTTCCGCGACACTAGAGATCACCCATGGCTGATTTTTGTTCCATGAAAAGTCTGATATTTTCCCTTTGTGACCCCCGTGAGAGAAGAGAAGCTCAGGAGGCCCGTCGTCCCCATCCCCTTCTAACTGCTCGTCCCCAACTCTGTTGTCATGAAAAATTACAAGGGTAATTTCGATTCTTCTGTTTACCCAGTTTTCCTATTCTTTGTCTACACATCTCCGACATAAAGCAATGCAACATGAACGTGACGGATGCAAAGAAACAATACAATCCGGAAGAGTCTGGTTATCCTTTTAAATACCTGTTAAGGTCCCACACCATTAGCCTTCTATCAGCACTAGAAGATGCTAACACGGTCTCGTGATTGGGATCCCATTCTACCTGAAATACCTCATCTCTGTACGCATTAAATAGTAAACTAGATCAGTGCTCAGTGCGGATAAAGCTGGGTTTTTCCTCCGCTATGACCCAGGAACCATGTAATAAAAAAGCATCCAAGGAGATCAGTTTCGACCCATTACACAACGTTGACATGGACCAATTACAGTCACAGGTCTAAAGACCCCAAAAATAATGAGAAGTTGACAAGCCCTGCGCATTAGAGGGGAGCTGGCCATCTAAGCCATGATACCACCTTGAATATTTTATTGTGCCTCCATTCGCACCAATCAGCATATTAGGAGTATTGGGTCCTCCAAGGTTAGCCTCGTATACAGGTGTAAAAGAATCATGTATTTATAACAGAAGCATGTTAAATTGCAAAAACCACAAATTCAAAACCCATTAGCAGAACAAATGTGTATCATCCCGAGTTTTTTTGGCCAGAAACCAATTAGTGTCTACTTTGTAGTCATTTTCATCGTCATTGCCACTTACATGAAAGATGTTCGATAAATGAGGCAGAAAAAATAATAAGGATCACGAAAGACCTGATAACTTAAGCCAGAGGAAGGATAACTAAACCAAATTTAGTACCAAGAACAAACCTCTAACCAAATTGACATCCACTTTTGAACTGTATCATACACATTTAAAAAAAAAAAATTTATACATATATTAATTAAATAGCACGCCATACATTTAAACAAACAAAAGGCATATCAGGTCTAGGAAGAGCTGCATGGGGGTTCACTTTACTATACATCTTGTCTTTATCTTTTATTCTTTTTATTTTTTGGCCGTCCAAATACCAGATTCCATCCATAAAATAAAACTGCAGACATAAAAGAAATTCTGGGAAATGGCAACGGTTAACCAACCCCGGTTCTGCAAGCCAACTTATCAAAATCAACAATAGCAAAAAGTTTTTTGTTTTTTGCTTTTTGGGTAGATAACCAGATCCGTACCTCTAAGGCACATTCCACAACTGCTAAACTTGTCCTGGCAAGCCAGTCGGCTGCCTTGTTCTTAGACAAAACAGGGAACCTATGTCTATGTCTTATATTATCAAGAACAGGGACTTGGTAGGAAAATGATCCTAGAAGATTATAAAACAAAACAAAACTTGGTAGGCAAAGGACATACGTGTGACTGCTTAGGACGTGAAGTGGCACTGTCAGCTTCCGAGTATCAAAGAGACCAACAGTTGTGTCCGAAGATGCTGTTGCGAAAATCCATTCATTAAATGGATTGAATGAGAGAAAGTTTACCTGAATCAGAACAAAAAGTGGAGAAGATAATCATCAGAAACAAATCATATGGAAGTCAGCTATTTTGTGGTCTCTCTCTTTCTGCCTCTTACAGTCTGTATTTGTAATCATGAATCTAGAGGGAGGTAGCCGAATACAATGAGAACCTTATTTATTCCATAACAGAGTTTGAGTGATATGTTAATTAATCACAAGTATAATATATATCGTTCATCATATGACGAGAATTAGCAAACTTCTCCGGCAGCAAGAATTAGAAACTAACAAATTTCCCATGCTTTGAATTATCCAGTTTAATTCCTAAACACCTCACGCACTGCATAATCCCAGCTCAAAGTTACCCAGTGCAACGGATGGCATTGTTTAAATGAAGAAGCAATTGACAATACTTTTCCCCTAAACATGTCTGAATAGCTAAGGTACAAGACTCAAGGCTACACAGCCGAATAAAGCGAGCAATAAAAGTTCTAAGCGCACATACCAACAAAAATGCTAGACACATTATGCATGATTTCTAATTTCTTCAGACTAAGATTTACACTTCAAACCAATTTACATGCTCAGTGAATTAGGGACTCAATAACAATGATACATTGACTGCATTACCTCCTTTTCATGTGCTTTAACTGATTGCTGGGGTTGGTTTGTTCGCAAGTCCCAAATAATCAACTTACAGTCATCTCCTACAGACCCAAATAAATTCTCATTCTTCATATGCCATGATACATCTTCAACCGCAGTTTCATGGGCCTGAAGTAACATTCACGAGTCCAAATTCATAATCAAATATCAGCCAATATGGCAAGATGATCAGTGTTCCATATCAAGGAATAAACAAGAAGTTTCGGCATTACCTCATAAATGTGGATTGCGTCGAGCACGTTCTCTTGAAGGGAAGCTGATATATCCCACAAGCAAATCTTACGGTCATGGGAACCACTTAAAAGGTACCCTTGCTTAAAGGGGCTCCAAGACAAACCATATCCCTCTTTGTCATGACCCCTCAATCTCAAATCAGGGTCACAACCAAGTGCTTGCTGCTTCCCGAGCTGTTTGGCAGAATCGAACACATAAACCTCGGAGCTACTAGTTTTGGCGCCAATAACATTCGGGTTTTGCGGCATGCACCGAGCACGATTCACCTCCCCGTCAACGGCAATTCTTTGAGCGATTTCTATCTACAAAAGAATGAAACAAGAAAAGCAAAACCTAACAAAGAGTCAAACTGTCGAATTTTATCGAACATTTAGTGCGCAAAAACCAGTTCAGGAATAAGCCAATAACCGAGCAAAAACAAGAATATACCCTAGGGGTAGCAGGATTATCGGAATCGACATTAACGACGGCATGGGAAGCGTTGACGGGGAGCGAAGCCTCGGCGATCATGAGAAAGTTGGGGACACCTTCGGAAGTGTGAGTACCGAGGAGAAGCTTGTGGAGGTTGAACGAAGAGTGCGGGTGGGGTTGAGGGGAGGAAGGGACCCAGTGGACAGTAAGAGAGGGCCACTGGAGCGGGTGGGAAACCACGAGATCGTACAGGATGGGGGTGTTCTTCTTCCAAACGGCAAACTCCTCTTCCACCTGAGCTGCGTCCTGCTCGTAGTCTTCCG